CAGAAATAGTCTCCCTACTCTAGTGCTCTCTTCCTACTCACCCCTTTGCCTCTCGCGGACTTTGGGCTTGACGAAGCGCCGCCGGTTTGCCCCCGTTTTCTGTTTCTTATGCTCTGCGGAGCCCCCCTCTTCCGGGCTGGCACTCAGCCAAGAACCCAGACTGTCGTCATCTGTCACGTCCCCGTTCCGACTCTCAGAAACCTCAGACCGACGCGGGGGCTGTTTGTTGCGGAAGTGGTCGTCTAAGGTGTGGGGGGAAAGAACAGGACACATCGCGTGGAGAGACAAGAGGCCCTGCCTGCATAGTCTGCCTGGCTAATAGGCCCCGTTTCTCAAGATCAGGGAATCCAAGACACACGTCCCTTTGCTTTTGCACATTTAAGCCCTGCTAGTACTTTCCCAACATCTCAGTCCCCACCCTCCACTCTTGACCTGTTCAAACTCTGCTGCCCTCCCTGGGCAAGCGAGGCATCCTCTTCCCCTGCTTCTCACCATCAACCTCCTTAAAGCTTTTCGAATCCAGAAGGCCAACTCAGTACAACCCACTCAGCTTCCAGAGCCCTCCTGTTACCAGCATCCAGGCGGGCAGAGGAGATGAACTTGTCTAACTGGCAGCGCAGGAAGTCCCGTTCTTCCTCCAGGTCCTCGATACGCTTCTGCAACCAGGAGTTCCTCTCCAGGGCCATGTGCAGCTGGGTCCTCATGCTGGTCACCAGAGTCAATGAGGGAGATGGCATCTCGGGGGCCTCTGAGTAGAGATGTAAAATTTCCGGAAATTTTGAAGCTCGGAAAAAGCCCCGGTTTTTTTCCGGGTTTTTTCGGGGGGAAACGGAAATTTTCGGAAAAATGGAAAAAAATGCTACATTAGCATTTCTTTTGTCTTTTCTAGATTGAAAGTCATTCTGTTACTTTAGGAACATAAAATATGACTATGGACATTTTTACTTGGCATGAAATTATCACAACTAGCATATTAAAAATATAGTGTATCCAAACAATTATTACAAACAGAATACCCACCCACATGCAAAAACAAAACTGAAACTTTTTTATTTTCTTCTGACAATCGCACCTCCTAAAGGAAGAAATGCATCTTGTTCTTGCATTGGAGAGTTCAGTTTGTAACCTACAGCTTGCTTGTCCTCAGTGCACAGAAATTAGATCAATCTGATACCATACATATTTTTTGGAAATGATTTGGAAAATATTTGAACACCTTGTCTTAAAATATTTTATTCATCACGTTAAAATAAAACGTTCCATAATAAATTTTTAAAATTTTATTTTCTTTTTCCAATTTTTTGGAAAAAACCAAAAAAGCCTTCAGGAAAAAAAACGGAAAAAACCCGGTGTTTTCACTCTGCACATTTGAGAAAAAGCTCATCATAGCAGGGGATGAATAAGGGGATGAAGTCGACCCATTTCCTCAGCAGGACTGCAAGTGCAGAAGAGGAAGGAGGAGCGTGTTCACCCCCCTTGTCCCTCCCGGCTCCAGTCCCCCCCCCATGTGGCTTCTCCCGATGGCTTCAGAGCAAACGAACTTATGCAGTAGTCCAATCGCTCGCTCACAACTTTAATGCCAGCGGCTCACAAAGTAGAATTTTTGCTCACAAGACTCCACAGCTTAGAGGGAGCATTGCACACAACCACTTTTTTAGGGCATAAGCATATAAAGGGGTAGAGGGTGCTGGGAAAAAACCCGAAAGGTCCATTTAGTCTGGCATTCTGAGTCCAACCATAGTCATTAGGGTATCCAAGCATAACCAATTAAAGGGAACAATTAAAAATTTGCTTCTTCTGATTCCTTTTCCTCCCCCTCCCCAAGAAATCATCCATCCACATTCTACAGAAATGCTACAGCATCTTCAAACAGGAAAAATGGCCACTATGCAATGTCTTCTGATGACACGGAGAAACGTATTGCTTTTATTTTATTTGGCCCTCCTTCCAAGGATTTCAGGGCAGCACGCAAGACAGATCCCTTTAATCCACACAAGAAGCCTATGAAGTAGTCCATCTGATCCAGAGGTCATTTTGGGGGGGATCGCGGGGGATCGCAGTTTCCCCGGGTGAGGTAAGGGGGGCGGGGCACATGACAAAGCCCCGCCCCCCGCTGCTTCCGGCCGCCCCGCTTCCGGCCCTCATTCAGCCAGGAGGAGGCAGGAGAAAAAGGAGGGTAAGTTGCTTCCTCCCTGTCTCTCCCCACCCCTGCCTGCCTGGGGCCAGGGAGGGCCTTCGCGGGGCTTCCTTGCACTCCCGCCGGCCTAGCAGGTCCACCGCCAGGCCCCTAATGGGGCTTGGCAGTGGAGCTGCAAGCCCAGTGGCGGCGGCCGGGACCGTTGGGGGCGGGGTGTGTGGCCTTATGACACACGTCCGGTGATGTCAGGGGGTGTGGCCTTATGACACACTTCCGGTGATGTCAGGGGGTGTGGCATATGCTAATGAGTTCCCCTAGCTCTTTTTCTACGAAACGGCCCCTGATCTGATCTAAGATTATCCAGTGAGGCTTGTGGCAAAGTAGGGAGTTGAATCCAACCTTCCCCAGTCGTAACCCAACACTCTAACCACTACATTCCACAAGTGTTACTTTCTGGAATCTCCAGGAATGTGTTCATTCTAAGGATGGCCACTAAAAAAAAAATCACGTGGGGAAACCTTTTACTTGTGTGACGTTAACACTGGGTCAGCAAGGATGCGCAAGCTAACAGTGGAAGGGAGAGTAAAAATGTTGTTTCTTACCATCAAAGTTCTGTGGGGGACTCAGACCGTAATATAACTGCTGCTGAGTTTGCGTTTGTGACTCCATTTGCTGTGGCTCGTCGAGGGGTATGGATATTTCGTAGGTTTCACTGTCTTCCTTCACTGTGGACATCAAAGCAGGGAGGGGGAAAGAAAGAAGAGCATTCTTTTGCCAGAACTTGAATCCACAAAGTGCTAAGGCTCAAAGAAATATTGATCGGAAAAGACTGTGGCTTAAAGCTGCAGTTTTGGTGAAGATAACAGTGGGTGTGTTAAAATAGCGACAAACAATCCCACCCTTTTCCAACTTTCAGTCATACAACAATGTCTCAAGATGCCTTAAAGATGACAGCATTTCTGCCAATCTGTGGGAAACCCCCACCACCACCACAAGTATGGCTTTCCTCACAATGCTCTATTTTGAAGCTACCACAGTGCAAAAACCAACAATTAATTCTGATATAGTGCACACCATTTAAAAAAATGAAAGACATCAGTGGTTAGGAGTGAGATTTAGTGCATTATGCACAGAGACCCTGGTATGTGCTTGCGTGACCTCACAGCGTCAAACAGGATTTCAGAAATGAAAATTCCACTTCTGCTGGTATTTCAAGACTTTCTTGGAATCATGTTACCAGATCATATGGAAGGGCCTCTCTCCATTCGCCTGCTCACACTCTCCCTCTACACCATTTGTATTTGCTGAATGTCAAAATCTACATTCTGTAGGAATGCATCTGTAGGAGTAACAACAACCTTAACGTTCTATTACATTGGCAAAGAGCTGGCATTCTCCAGGAGCGGCTTCTGGGATTTGCAGTCCCAGGAACTGTCCACAACACTTTTTGAAACTCTGGGCAAGACATCTGATTAGGATGACAGCAGATCAACTCCCCCATGTGGCCCCATGTAAGTCACCTGTTGACTAACACACACCAACCTTGCTTTCCACGCCGTCCTCTACCTATACTTGACCGCTGGTGATGATGGTTAGTCTCACTCATTGTCCTCCCTCCACGAGGGGGACGGATACCGCCAGCCTAAAGAAGAGAGGAGACAGGGCAGTTGGATCTTACAGCCACTTCCTAGCTTCCCTTACTTGTTCCTCAATACCCACCAGCCAGCTATGTCTAACTGGTGAACTCTAAGTCAACCAGCACTCTCCATAAGAACTCCCCAGCTGCCTCTTTAAAATCCTGTGGTCCATTCAATGAACACCAAGCAATTGATTTCTACAGCTACTGATCCTTTTCTGTTAAGAGCTGTACACATCTGGAAAAACACACATGGAACAGCCTTTCACGGAACGATGGGAGAGCAATTTGTTTTAATACTCTCCCCCACCCCACGTAACAGCTGCATATGCAGGTTTCATGGTTTCTCCTGTATGGAGAAGTAGGAGTCGTGCCTCTTGGCTCCCAGACCTGGCAACATATTTGATCACCAAGAGAAGTAGGGTCAGAGCTGCTTGGTGTAGTTACTGTGGAAAGGAAAGGACACTCCACACATGCACAGAGGTACTTTGCTGAACTATTACTACTATTATTATTGTATGTAAGGCTGGGCTCTGAGAAAAGATTCTGGGGCTCTGCCCTGGCATAAGTATGCTGAACACACGTTTTTCAGGAGCTGGGAAATCCTGGTTTCCCCTGGTATCTCCTCTTTCTCCTAAACTAATGAGGATATTTACCTGAGCCAGGATGGCTGTCAGCACTGCAGCCTCCACACAGCTACCTGCAAATAACTCCAGACACCTGAGCAAAGGTAAAAAAAGGAAAATCAGTAGGTTAGGGGAGCATATAAAAAGAGAGGTGATCAGAGCTACTAAGTGGGTCAGAAATTGCAGGCACAAGACAATCTCTTCACTATCCAAGAACAGGGAGGAGGATCCTCCGAATTAGATACAGATGTGGGGTACTTCTGCTCACAGCAGTCCTGCAGAGGTACCCAACAATTACTCTCTTGTGGTGCTGCTCGTTAGGGTGTGGGGTGCAGGGGTGCAGGCAATTCAAAGACGACAGGATACAAGCTTGCAGGAACTGTCTGAATGAAGGAAGGAAGGAAGGAACCTCCTCCTCTCACGCAGCAGGTTTATTTATACACCTTTCTTCCCCCTTCTCCCCCCCTCTCCCTCCATAAGGGAGTTACAAGCATTAGAGCATCCTTTTGGAATGTGTGTGTGTGTGTGTGTGTTTCCATGCAGCAGTCTGCTATCTGCCTTTCTCAAGGCTACTGACTGCGTAGTGAGCAGTAAACAGATTCCATCTCGGCCTCTCATGACGTATAAGTATTTCAGCTCCCAACCTCCAGCCAGGAGAATAGTGATTTATTCTGCACTGCTGTCCTACACTCTCTGCCTAAGGAATGCTGATAGTACAGTCCTAAAACAAAGTTATTGACTTCAATAGGCTTAGAACTCTGTTTAGGAGTACCCTTGAAATCCAGGCAGGTATCAGGGATTCTAGCTCACTGGCAGTTGAATGTGTGAATTGATTCTGTTGGAAAATGTGGCATTTGAGGAACCCAGATTTGGCCATTTGACAAGTTAAAAAAAAAGATGACCATGACAATTAGCCAAATCTTGGTCAAGTGTTTGTTTTTAAGTACAGGATTAACATTAGAAGAAAAAAGAAAAACAAATTTTATAAATTTGTTATTGTAGCACAGTGAAATTAACTTTTAGTTCTCTTTAAAAATGAAAAAAATGTAGTGAATGACTAATTATTTCAGGTAAGGCTTCAAAAAAAGGGGAAAAATGTAGTGAATGAATAATTATTTCAGGTAAGGCTTCAAAAAAAAGGTGAACAATTCACTGAACAGTAGTTCCCTTTTGGTTTGTATCCTGGAACACCCATTTTCTTTCTTTTTTAAAAAGAAAAATTAAGCAGTGCTAACGCAAAGTAACAGCAGTTCTTTTCTTTTTTTTTTTAAGTCAGATTTTGAAGGACCTTGTGCTTAGAAGGAAGCAGTAGAGCAATCCTGAACAGTCACACCATTGTAAGCACATTGACTAATTGATTTAAAGGAACATAACTCTGTTTAGGGTTGATCCAGTTGGATAGCTGTGTTGGGGTGAAGCAGTAGAACAAAGTTTGAGTCCAGTGGCACCTTTAGGACGAGCAAAGGTTTAGTCACAGTATAAGCTTTTTTGTGCAAGCACACTTCTTCAGATACAGTGAAACAGAATTTCCTCAACCCTTACATATAGAGGGGGGGATTAGTTGCCAGAAAGGGCCTATTAGGGTCGAGACAGAGACAGAAACAAAACTAGATATTACCAGTCCATACATATAGTGAGCAGTAAATTATCATACAGCATAGTGGAGATGTTTAACAGACACAAGGATCAAATAGGGATAAGCTTAGTTTATATGGTAACCATTTGTTTCAATTCAATTCTGGGGCAAAAACAGTGAAGGAAATAAATATGCCAAAATTGGAGATTGACGTATCCTTAATTGTAGAATGCTGAGAGCAAATTAACTGAGACCCTGCCATCTATCTCCTCTCAAGCATGGAGGCAGCAACGGGTTGCACTCACCTCTCCAGCACCAGGAGAGGCCTGCCATTTTAACAAGTGGCCAGGAGGAGGAGCACTGCTCCACTCCAATGCTAGGCTTGGCCCCAGGGATTACTGCAGGCCTGGGGAGGGCACTCACTCCCACCCTTCTTAACAAATGAAAAAGTTATGCTGCCACCTGCACTGGGATTCTTTGCAGATGGAACATGTGTCAATATTTGACAGCAGTCCCACATGAAGCTATCTTATACTGAACCAGACCACTGGCCATCAAGGTCAATCCTGTTTATTTCATTCACTTATACCCCTCCTTCTTCCCCGATGGGGACCCAAAGCAGCTCAGCATCATTATCCTCTCCTCCATTTTATCCTCACAACAACCCCATGAGATAGGTTATGCTGAGAGAATGTGACTGGCCAAAGGTCACCCAGTGACCTTCCATGGCATGAGCAGGGATTCGAACCTGGTTCTCCCAGATACTAATCCAACACTCTTAACCATTGCATCACACTGGCTCTCATACTTTCTACTTAGACAGGCAGCAGCTCTCTGGGGTCTTTTGCATCATTACTGGTTCCTTTTAACTGGGGGCGCCCAGGATTGAACCCGAGACCTTCTGCATCCCAAGGTGATCTACCACTGAGCCACAGCCCCTCTCTCATACTTTCTACTTAGACAGGCAGCAGCTCTCTGGGGTCTTTTGCATCACCCATTACTGGTTCCTTTTAACTGGGGGTGCCCAGGATCGAACCCGAGACCTTCTGCATCCCAAGGTGATCTACCACTGAGCCACAGCCCCTCTCCGATTAAGAGGCGGTCAACTGATCATATTTGGCCGATCAGTTTCCTGGAGATGCTGTGGCCCTGTGTTTTGACTGGGATGGCTCATTCATACATGCATGCACGTGCCCCTCGGGGGTTTCACTCGTCAAGGGAACGAATCACAAATTTACAAATTCTCACCCTGACTTGGATACCCCGGGCAAGCCCGATCTTGTCAAATCCCGGAAGGTAAGCAGGACCAACCCTGGCAAGTACTTGGATGGGAGACCTGACCTCCAAGGAATACCAGGGCCTCTGTGTCCCTGGCTTCCAGGCACGCACACATGTATACACACAAACACTCACAAATGTACAAATTCTCAGGAAACTTGGAAACTGAAAAACAGATGTAACTGAAGGTCATTCTCCACTTCTGTTCTAGTATTTTTGGAGGGAATACTTTTACAGTTCCTAAAAACATCACATGCTTGCATTTTCGATTCCAACAGGCCAAATTATTCAGATGTCACAACCTTAAGGGCGGGGGAAGATAATGTGTCTTTAAAAGGTGGGAAACATCTAATTTAGGGCCTTGAAACAAAAAAGAAAGTGTAAAATTAGTTGGGATATGAAACCAGATTTTCCCACACAGCAGCTATGCCTCTACAGACAATTCTTGTGGGGGCGGCAATGTAGGGGAAATCAAGCTGGACACCCATTCTGCTAAATGCTGGATTTCTCTACTATCCTTGCCCAATCGCTCACACCTCCATGCCCAACAAATACATTTGTTTTTGCCCTCGCGCACCACGTGCCAGTCAAAGTTCCAAATATCAGAAATGGCCAGACTCCTTCCTCTTGGTAACACAAGCTCTCATGAGTTCTTTCGGAGCTGTTCTCTCACAAGCAGTTCTCTCAAGCCCCACCTACTTCGCAGGGTGTTTTTTGTGGGGAGGGAAAGGGAAATTGTAAGCCACTCTGATACTCCTTCAGGTAGAGAAGGGCCGGGTATAAATCCAATCTCTTCTTCTTCATTGATGTCTCTCTTCCCCCTGCCCCTTCATCCCTCCCAGCCAACTAAAGCTTATTAATAACAGTCCATTTATCACTGTATCCCGCCTACATCATCTTCACAAAAGGGCAGAATCAAGCCATTAATTAACACATCCATTTCCCTCTTGGTATCCCACGTACCTACCACTTCCTCCTGAAGGATATTTCATACCAGAAAATTACAGGAAGGTGAAAGAGAGAGACAGATTTTAGTCTTCTCCAAACATTGCCAGGAAAACCACTGTGCCTATCACAAATAGCAATCCCCAAATAGGATCAAGTTCTGCCAGAGTGGCTCATTCTCCACATCCCTTGTACTCCTCCCTGCACCTTCACCAACTCTCCTAGATACTGCTCTGCTCACTGGAAAACTGGAATAATCCCAGTTGCCTGACTTCTCAAAAACTTAATCTCTGACACCCAGGCCAATCTCAAATCTAGGCCTTTTCTCAAATCCAGGTCTGCGGCTCAACCACTCTCCATGACCGTCTTCGATCCCCTGCCTGCAGCCTTATGATTCTTTCATTACTGCATCCTGTTCCTGTCCTCTTTCTTCCCATCTTGCCTTCAAGAAGGTCCATCCATTGCTGTATCCCATCTCTGTCCTTCTGGCACCCGCTCAGCTACCCTTCAACCACCTGTGGTGCATCCATTCCTAGAGTCTCTCTTATACAGCTCTCCAAAGACATTCATCATTAAAGATAAGGCACTCTCTCTCAAGTTCAGTCCCCCACTTTGTATGGGGAGGATCAGGGGTCATTTCGTAGAAAAAGAGCTAGGGGAACTCATTAGCATAACTCATTAGCATATGCCACACCCCCTGACATCACCGGAAGTGTCATAAGGCCACACCCCCTGACATCACCGGAAGTGTGTCATAAGGCCACACACCCCGTCTCCAACGGTCCTGGCTGCCGGCGCCGGATTGCAGCTCCACTGCCGACCCCTCACCTGCAAGGCCGGCGGGAGTGCAAGGAAGCCCCGCCAAGGCCCTCCCTGGCCCCAGGCAGGCAGGGGTGGGGAGAAGCAGGGAGGAAGCAACTTACCCTCCCTCTTCTCCTGCCTCCTCCTGGCTGAATGAGGGCCGGAAGCGGGGCAGCCAGAAGCAGGGGGCGGGGATTCATCATGTGCCCCGCCTCCCCTACCTCACCCGGGGAAACTGCGATCCCCTGCGATCCCCCCCGAAATGACCTCTGGGGAGGATAATACTAGGCTAC